AAAAACAATATACTACAACCTTGGTAAGTACCTACTAATTTCGAGATACTTTCAATATAACTCTCAATGGAATAATACTTATCATTGATCTCACGCTAAAGTGGCTTTCTGATTCTTCATCATATCATCCATGAAATTATCGTTCTTCGTAAATCTAGCGTAACTGCAGCAAATAAAAAATCGAATTAACACGAAAATTTAATTAGTCCATTATTTAACCCTTTGAGAACGATGAGAACCCATATTCGTAGTTTTTTAACCAATAAATTCATATTTTTACGTTACCATCAACTGATGCACGTATATTTGAGGATAACTTTAATTTAATTTAAAAAAAATAATTAAAATAGTAACTTCATTGTATATTGTATATACAAAGGGTTGAAAAGAATAAATACTTACATTCTTTTGTATTTCTCTTTTTCAGACCTAGACAAAGATGGATGAGTGGATCTAATGGAATCGATTAAATGCGCCTGAGCGACCTTGATGTCCCCCGCCTCGATCTTTCCATCCTGGAATCACAGGTTGAAAAGGCGAGACCATTAATTGGTGGGTTAAACGAGAAACAGCCTGTAAGTCTGCCTATATGCATTATCGCTTATCAGTGAGACGCGTTCCTCTCGAAACACGTCGCGCTCAGGAAACTCGCTCGCTAATTAGACGTACAGTTTGGATATTCGTGTTCTTCCGGTAGGTAAGTGCCGGCGAAACTTCGTTTTCTCCCTAGGAAGTTAATTAATGGCTTCTAAATCCCGTCACCCCATCTTACACGCGACACTTGCCCCCATGTATGTGCCATGACGATTGTGAAACCCGAACGATAGCTACATTTTTCAAACCTAAACACTCGGGAAAGAGGAAGAAAATTTCTTAGAAGGTTCCAACTTTTGAGGTCTCGTAAGCAACGTTAAAACACGGTTAAAATTCTGCCAATATTCAACAAATATTCAACGTCGAAGATTGTTTTTTAATCGCTAAACGTGATTAACACCTTAAACGTCGAAATCTTTAGAGAAGATTTTCAGCTCTTGCAAAATACCATCACATAAGAAAACAACATTACGATTGAAATTCTACCACTATTCGATAGATATTTTTTTTAATTGCTAAATGATTGACACTTTAAACGTCGAAATCTTTCGAAAAGAAAATAATCAAATCTAGCAAAATACCTGCACACAAGAAAAGGACAATGTTTAACAAAGTCTCAACATTAAAGTACATACTAATATCCCAGAAACAACGAAATCTCTCCAAAGTCATCACATAAAATTATCAATAATATTAAGATTCAAATTTCAAAGTTACAAATTTATCGACGAATCCTTCAATCTCAATACCGACCGCACATGATCAATAATATTACCAATATTTATCGGTATTCGCAAAATTACTAATCGCACGAGGACCACTTAACTCTTTCATTGCTGTTGGCTCCTTGAGTCGCTTTGAAAATTTTCTCGCATTATACTGTCCGCGCCTTTTGCCGCACTTCCACCTTAATTTATTAAAACAAATATTAAAACGATACAGCCAAAACAAAAAGTCTACCGCAGCGAACGGGTTAAGAAGTACGCCTGTGCAAGGTGTCAAAGAAGATCGTCTCTGCACTTTATCACGATTCCCTGGGTGCAGAGAAGGAACACCCTAACGTAATCCTTAATTCTATCCTTTTCTCACTTTCACCTTAACACGTTGACTGCCATGGTGGTCATTAGTGACCGAGTGCCCCAGATGTTTAGAATAATTAAAATAAAATGAATATGGTCAGCTAAAAATTTCGAACATCCCAGCTAACTAGACATTATTTTGAATTAAAAAAAATATTAACAATAAAGCATAATACAATGTTATGCTTAGAATAACGAAAATTTTCTTGTGGCCCCTGAGAGCAGTATGTAAATCTAGCGAGGCAGTCAACGTGTAAACTTAATAAAAAAAAAAAGATGTTTAAACGATACGACCAAGAAAGAAGATTTCACACTTGTGTTTAAACATCTACCGTCTGTCGCTGAAATTTGTCGCAACGAGAGGGTTAAGAAATACACTTCTACAAGGTGTAAAACAAGATCGTCTCTACTACCCTTCTATCACGTCTCTCTTCGATCACGATTTCCTGGATGCCGAGGAGGGACACCGAGTGGTGTCTGCCTTTCGATTTTACAGGACCGCTGCAGGCCCTAAACCGTGTATCATTATAACGCATAAGATAATAACCCCCTCGACGTTCAGCGAGGCGTAGGCCAGGATGAAGTGGAGCGAGATGGGGGGATGGTGCTCTCGGCAGCGTGCGCTAATAAACCTGGTCTACGTTTCCTCAGTTATATCACGCCATACCTACCCTACCTAGCTGGCTCGACACTCTATATACATAGGACACGAGGAGAAAAGGGAAGGAGGAGAGGGGCGGAGTGTACACCTAACGATATTATCATCATTACGCACTATCTTACTTCGGAAGCTCCCTACAAATGATTCTCGGCCGGAGTCGCGCTAAAATGCTTTTCATTATTGCAACGGAGAGATACGACGAGCAGCGTAACAAAACGAGACGATCGTTAGGAACAGTGGGAACAACCATTCCCTGGACCACCTTTCTGTACAATTCGTTTTCGTCGCTTTCCACAGTGTACTCGGTTATAACCTTCAGACGGCGAATGCCGGGTCACCGATGACCCAGCTTTTGAAACTACCGTAAAACTGGGGTAACATTGCCAGCTGTGCACACGGACGTTAGATTCTAGTTAAGACGTTACCTTTCATTAAGACGTAAATAAGTGAATAAAAGTTTAGCTCACGATAACTAATCATTTTTGTGTCTTTAATTACATCGATAAGCTGATTAATTTGAAAGTACATTAATCGTCGGAGTAAATAAAAAAATATAAAAGAGTGCATTGAACATGGAAAGAAAGAAATTTAAGTGTCGATGTAACTTCAGATTAATAAAACTTTAGTTGTTAATGCTGTTTATGCGATGTGCCAATTTTACCCCGATTACAGAAGGAAAGGGGCAAAAATTTCATGCATTTTCACACTTCATTTTTTAACGTTTTGGTTACGAGTAATTGACAATAAACGATTGAAATTTTTTTGGTTACCAGTAACCGTTATTGATGACGGAGAAATTTTATTAAATAATAACGAAAACGAGAAGTACTTACACGTATATTCAACTAGGATGTGCGATTGGTTAAGACGATGAAAAAAGAAAAGCGTGTTTACTTACAGGTGCCCTCGCGACAGCATCCTCAAAGGCCGACAGCCTGGCTTGAGTGACTACAGCGTTTAAATCTGCTCCTGTGAATCCTGGAGTGAGGTTCGCCAGATCCTCTAGATTTAATTCCATCGTGTCTACGTTCTGTGTTTTGCACAGTGCCGCTAATATCTCTTCTCTCTCTCCCTGTACAATTCAGTACGCGATCAATCTCAAAATAATCATTCCTCGAGAAACTAAATTTCATTGTTGGTAATACGAACGTACCAATCACTAGCGTGTACAGTAGAAACGAATATACAGGCTTAAGGAATATCGTACCTCGTCTGGAAGTGGACAATACAACGCTTTGTCGAGGCGTCCAGGCCTCAACAGGGCTGGATCCAGCAAATCTGGCCTTGAAGACGCTGCCACGACCGCCACACCTTCTCTATCCTCGACCCCGTCCATCTGCGTTAACAATTGGTTCACCACTCTATCCGTGACCCCGGTACTGTCGTGGCCTCGTCTGAAATGAATTGTGAAGAAATGCACAGCAATCTGTATGAACGACCTGTAATCGTTCTGACAAATACACAGGGTGTCTCACTCATAATGAACGTTAAATTATTTCCATTGCTGTTGAAAGTAAGAAAAAATGGCTAACTACACCTAACATTGAACCTGACTACACAGCTTTCGATTATCTATCGACGTGCAAAGTTTCGTCGAAATCCGAGACTTACACTTCACGTGTTCCCTTGTAACAAGGTGTGCAGTTAGTAATGATAAAAATGTCCTCTCAAGATCATCTTGAAGATCGAGATATTTGTAACGACATCGACATATTTTCGCGTATTAACATCTGCTTCTTTATAATGCGACATTGCAATTAACGCTGGGATGGGTTCAATGACCTATGACGGCATAATCTTCAAACGACTTTGAACAAAAGAGACTGCGTTGAAGTCAGAAAAATCTAAAATTTATGAAACAAGAGAAAAATGCAGACAAGAGGGTAATATAACCGTATAAATGTATCTCACTCCCTTTTGTTTTACTTTCAATAGAAGCGGAATGAATTTATAGCATGTTCGTCATAAGTGGGACACCCTGTATCTCATTATTGTACCTGATGATTGACTCACCTGGGAGCGAGACTGTCGAATTCGTCGAAAAATAGGACGCACGGTTTAGCACGAAGAGCTCTGTAATTTTAACAATAATTTTTAACGTTGATTCTGTACGTCATTTTCGTTTTATACAATTTTTACCTCTCGAACACATTTCTGACAGATTCTTCGCTAACACCGATATATTTCGATAGCAATTCTGGACCCTGAAATGAACATTTGTTTACACGTACACGACGATCGAAGTGTTGAATTTAAATGAGGAAGAAATAAGAGGAATTTCATACTTTAACGCTGATTAAATTCACACCACACTCATTGGCGATTGCCTTGGCTAGCATAGTCTTCCCCGTGCCCGGCATACCGTACAGTAAAACGCCGTTTTGCAGTTTTATCGGGGCATTCTTGAATATCTCGGGATATTTCAACGGCCATTGTAGAATTTCTACTAATGATTTTTTCACCTCGGCTAGACCACCAATATCCGGCCAAAGGTGACCCGCACCTTTGTACAGTTGCACACCTTGCAAAGACATCGGGGTGCAATTCTTCATGGCGACCATCATGTCCTCGTCAGCGACAGCGATGGGCCCTTTAGAAGTTCCTTTCGTGGGGAACCAACGTGACTGATATTTATTTGAAATTTATTCTGTACCCGATTAATTTAACGAAGAAATAACTGAAGAAAGATTACCCTAGATCTACTATAAAACTATTTTACTTTATTATAAAATTTAAATTGAATACTGAATAATTTAGTGAAATTTATATGACAATTTAATCTAATTTACTTCGCTATAAAACTATTTTACTTTACAATGAAATTTTAATTAAAATTAACAAGCATTAAAAATATAAAACTATTTTACTTTATTGTAAAGTTAAAATTAAATGCTGGTATTTATTTAAAAATTATAATCGAGTAATTCAACGAATAAATAATTGAATAAAATTTACTTTACTGTAAAGCAATTTTACTTCGCTGTGAAATTAAACTTAAAATTTAAAAGTATCAAATTAATCTACTTTACCATAAAATTTACTAAATTCCTGTATCCTTTATTATCAAAGATTAAGTCTTTTTTTAATTGCCGAGTGCATCGCCCTATTTTTTTCTTTTTCGTTAATATGGCATGAGGTATCTTTAATAGTTAATGTTGTAACGATAACGAAAGTCACGTAGAAGAATTTTACAGCAACACTTCGTCGCGATTATCCACTAATTTTAAACGTTAATTGAATATTCGTCACGAATGAGAGCAATTATGGTAGATTTTGTTACCGTGACGCTTCCAAGCGGCGAACGCAGCTTTCTCAGCCATATCCACCAGATCCTGAACCATCCATCCCTCGGTCTTGTTTCCATAGTAATCCCAATTCACGTCTCCAGGCACGTACAACTTGTCCCCGAGCATTAATTGCAAAATATCGATTCTATCCGCCTGATTAGAAAGCACAAGCTTATACCATAACCGGAAATGTTAACAGCGGTCTGACTTATTTACCTCGATCACTTCTTAATAGCTTCACATTCCACCAAACTGTACATATTGTCTTACTTTTTTCAATTCATCATTTCTACTAATTAAACTATTTTGCACACGATTCTTTTATCATATATACATATATATGAAACTTTATATATGATTTTTTAATTGAAAGAAAAAATACTATAGATACAGTGCAAATGGTCTTGAAATTTGAAATCAGAAAGGAAGAAAGAAAAGAAAGACCAAATTTAAAATAAGAAAGGATTTTTCTTAAGTAGGAATGTAATTATTTAAATACCTTTTCGAGATTAGGAATAGACAAAACGGTTCTAAAGAAATGGCAACCCCTAGCTGGTCTTAATTTCTGACCAATCCTATTAACGCCTGCACATGTGGCAACTAGAGATACACGATGTGTTTCCTGATACTGAGTTACTGTATTAACTAATATATCCGTGATCCTGATGACATAAAGATTCACATACATTTTTTTTAATAACGTTGAAAATATGCGTAAAAGTGAAAGAAAAAAATACCTAGCAGCGTTTATGGCGTCCGGTGTATTCTCTTCGTCGTTTGTCGACGCGTTTGTGATTGATTCCAAATCGTCGAGAAATAATACCGAAGGCGCATGATAAGTACATTCAGTTAAGGCGGTTGTAATAATTTTCTGTAGCATTTCGGCCTTCTTTCCTGAGGAACGTAATGATAATAAGAGAAAGAAGAAGTAAATTCTGCTAGAAAACTAAGTAGGTACACCTATCCCCCGTTTTCCGCGAAAAATCGGTTCCTCGGAGTACCGTGTAAATCGAAATCATCGCTTTTTGTATGAAAACCCGTGTAAACTGGAAAGGAAACCTAATTTAATAATTTATTCAAAATATCAGAAAATAATCAGAAAAACAAAATATGTCAGTCCATTCGTGAAATAACAAAATGGCCGGGCGCCAATGAAAGATCCGCGTCGACAGCAAACTTTATGTTACAATATAAATGCTTTTTCTGTACAAAAAAAAAAGGGGAATTCCCTTTTTTAGGTTTAATACAAGTGTTAACAAAACGAACGCTACTGAAAAGTGACTGTACAAATATGTGCGCAGCATAAATTTTTGTTTTTAACAGTTTATACTTGTGAAAATTCGTTCTTTTAAAAATCGTGTAAAAAAAAGCACCGTGTAAATCGGGGGATAGGTGTAATGAAAAATGGCGATTATGTTACCAGTTTATAAATGATCTACCTTTTAAGGATCTACAGTCGATCATATGTGTATGCACGAAATAAGGTGCGCTCTGTAAATATTTTGCAAGTATTTTGCATATGGTGGTCTTGCCTGATCCAGCCTCGCCAGAAATTAATATGTTTTCGCGATCGTAGTCGAAGGGTAATTGCGTAAGCAAGCCCAGACTGAGGTCCAATGCAAGTTGACATTCTTTCAAAATTTTATTTAGATATCTAGAAAATTTGGAGGTTTGAAAGTTTGAAAGTTCGAAAATTGGAAATTTTGTGAATTTAAAAGCTTGAGAATTGGAAAATTGGAAATTTGGGGTATTTGTAGGTTAGAAAGTTTGAAAATTTTGAAATTTGATATTTCGGGGAATTCAGAAGTTGGAGATGTGAAATTTTGGCAATTTGAAAGTTTGAAAGTTAAAAATTATGAACACTTGAAAATTAAAAGTTTCGATTACGGCAAACTTAAAGTCCAGCTAAAACGAGTCGTAATAATTTTCCAATAAAACGGAACAACTTAAATGAAGAAAGCACGTTACCTAGTAGAGATCTTCTCCAGATGAATTTCATCCTGATCCAATCTCTCAGACACTCTCGGAAGGCTCTCCTCTATCGTCGATTTCAAATGCACCTTCACATCCTTCAAACCTTTCTCGTCTATCATAGCAAACGTAGAACTCTCGGGCGAAATTTTCACCACACAAGTTCCCCCGTCGTCCATAACGATAGCAGCACAAGAATTAATCAACAATTCTTTATAAACCGAATGAGTTCTGACATAACTCTCGAAACTATCCACCGACACTGATTCTTTCCACGAAAACAGCTCGATAGATAACGGTGCACATATTTCAGGGGCTTCTATTTCCCACAAACTCACTTTTGCCCCTATTTTTAAGTTCAAACTGATCCTCAAACTATCCCACACGTACACGTTATTCTGAAGAAAATGAACATTTATAGATTTCCTATCTAACGTCGAACATTTCTCCAATAAATCTTCCAAGATGAACAATCTCACGGTCAATTCCGTGGACAATTTTGGAACAGGTGATTCGTCTTTCGTTAGAAAATTTGTGCTAGATACGTTCACATTCTGTTTATCTTCCGAAACCTTTTTTATACGACAAAACGTAAAATCGGTGGAAAATTTCGGCGCTTGATTTCTCGATATAAACACATGATAAGGGCAACGAGCAATTTCGTCGAAAATATTTCCCTCGATCGGTGCCATTTTTGGCATCGGATGGACACGGTACACCGTTGGCTTTTTTCTATTACAAAAACTATGCAAAAGTTCGTAATTTCTTTTTGCATTGTTTCCTCGTGCTTTCGATGAACTTTCATTATTTCCTGTTGGTAGAATGTTCTTCAATCTGGATAACAAATTATTGGTAATACTAGACACCTGATTTTCATTCGAAGTTTCCTCTTCTTTATTCACTACTGCGCCTGTCACGTGCACCTCTGAAAATTGCTCGAGTTTTCCACATTTAACAGTCGGTTCCAAGGATTCTGTGAGAGTGAAAATGTTGCTCGATTCGTGGAGTAATTTTAAGTAAGTAATTTTAATTTCTGCGCGTATTTCTCCCACTTTCTCTGCCATTTTTTACTAATCGAAAATCGAGCTGCGAAAAATACGAAAATTTTTTCAATGGTAAAGCTATACCGGTATTTATTCTTAAAGTCTTGTATCTTCCGTGTGAAAAATAGTTGGATATTGTTTGCTTTGCTAAAAATACCTATCTCAGAAAAATAAGGGTGCGAAAAGGTGTTTTGACGTTGGATTTCTAATTTCAGTGGAATATCGTATATATCTCGCGAAAATAAGGGTGAGAAAAATATGCGCGGAAATACAGCGAAGCTATTACTTGCCTACAATTAATATTACAGAAGAAAATTTAGAAACCCATGCTACAATCGGTTGTCCCACAGCCACCACTCTAATTTGGTTAAGGAGCGTCGATTGTACCTTTTCTGTTTGCAATTCCTGCAGAGAATAATTACTTTATTGCTCGTAATTTAATGCCGAAGGTAGAAGAAAAGAAGAAAATTTCTGTTACAATTGTAAGGTTTCTTTTACGACCTACCAAGATCTCCCTGTCGTTTACAGTGAAAGGTGCGACGTGAATTTTCGTCAATAATGGCACGTCTTTTATAAAAGATACAAATACCTCGTCGCCTTCTTCAATGTTTAAACTTCTGGCGAAAGTTGTGCCAAGACATAAAGTGTCATTAAGATTCGGTCGCGCGATACAGGACGTGTAATAGCTTTTATCTTTGTACTCTATTTCGATTGCATTCTCCTGGAATTCGTAATGGGAAATTTTAAATGAATTGTTTAAAAAAAACTCTTAAGAGAAGTAACAATTGTGATTAAGGACGAATGTTACAATCACAGACGACGTACAGGATAGACCTAAATAGCATCTTATGGGACTTTTTGTCCGGTGCTTCGAGGCCGAAAAGATCCTTACTATTTTCCGATTCAGCCGAGTTACCTACGTTACCGATTCAGCATAGAATAAGATTACAACATTAGTGGTGGTTGGAATTGGAATTATACGTAACTATGAAATTACAAATAAGAAAGTAACGTAATTGTTTATTAGTAGATGATACATCACAGCCACGTGTTCTACTGTTATCAGAAGATCGTGAACAATTTTACCCACGCAATTCAATATGTGTATATATCTTTATGTGCAAATTTAATAAAAGAAGATTTTTTACATCTGTCGACTTTACTATCTTTAATGATTGGATTGTATGTAATTCCTAAACTCACCGCTTTATATCGTAGAGGGCATAACAAAAATTCTAATTTTTTATACAATCGGTATTTTAGAATGTTGAGCACAAAAATACATTAGATACAAGGTCTATCATGTACGTCGTCTGTGCCTGTATCTCGTCTGTGGTTACAATTTTATTGGAAAAGTTATAAAGGGAATGATTTTATGGGTAGATGGTAAATGTGAATTACTTTATTATCAACAGATATAATTGCCTTTTTTATCAAATAAAGGTAATAAAAAGAATGATTAATATAAAAGTTTTAATCGTTACTTGATAAATAACGCAGCAACATTCGAAAATATTGTCATTAATAAGTGAAATATGAATATGTGATTATTTAAATATTTTTAATTTTAAAAGAAAACTATGTTATCAGCCTAATCGAAAGAAAAAATGAATCTCGACATCTAGCGGTATAATAAGATATCGTTATATTGAAAATCAACTGGTTGAGCTCCAATTGGCATATCAGATTTTCTATCTATTATTATATATGTGATACATGTTTTACAATCTACAGGTTCCTGGTTTATTATACGAAGCACAAAGCACCAACCTTAGTTTCCAATTTACGTAGCCAGGTGTCCGGTAAATAGGCGAAACAATTATTCACCGTTATATACTTAACTACAAAACGTTCACTTTGCATTCTCGATTGTTCATAAAACCATAAACCAATGAGACGGAAATTCGGGATACGAAACGCAACGGTGCACACTTATGAGGGGAATATACGATAAATATTCGGTACGTGACAAACTCTCACAATATGGAAAAAAATATCACGCTTAGTTACATAGGTTAACGAACACCAACGTATCCGAAATATTTTTCACGATTTTCTCGTTGTCGCACAAACAATTATTCGAGTTTCAAGCTCCAGTTTTAAGCATGCCAGTGTTCTGATTTAGTGCAAACGTTTTAATACAGGTCAAAGGTTAATTGTTTATTAAAAATATCGAGGTAACTCTGTTCACGTGAGACATCTTGTTTAAGATACGAATATAGTGTTTAACATCTCAAATAGCGAGGAATTGTATATATTAAATGTTTTTTATATATATATTTAATCATTACACATGTGAATTTCTGTACAATTGTAGAATATAATACTTCGTCTAACCGTGAGCTGAGTACGTTAAATTGAATAATGAATTGGCATTATTCTTTAATTAAAATTTGATGATATGTGATTTGTAAAAAGAACATAACCCATACTAAAAAATACTCCATTCTTAGTGTATACATAAAATATTAGTCATTAATTGTATAAAATATAAAAAACCTATACGTTTTGAATAAACGAAACACTGTTCGATTATAAATTTTGTTGATAGGTGACGCTCGGAGATATTTCTATGTTCCCGATTGGCTCTCACGGCTTAGAACGCACCAATCAAAGAAAGCACTAACAGTAACTGTGATATTTTGAACAGCGTCAACTTCAGTTGCTCTGGTGAAACGAATGGACACCATAACGACGTATTAGTGGCACAAGAGTTTCATAAATGAGAGATATCATCGTACCAGAGCATATAAAATTATAATTCGCGCCTACAGGTAAATTAAAATAACTCGTTTACGGTCAAAAAACGACTTTTTGTACAAATATCCCGTTTTTTACCTATTTAAATGAGTGAATGTTTTGGATTGTTTTCACGATCTCTTATCTTTGTGGTAGTCGCGTGGAATTTGTCGTTTCTATCTATTTTGTTACTTTCTTTTGCGTTCGAAACAATTTTCGAAAACCATATCGATGATTTCTGAAGTTAGTGAGACTCGTGCCTTTGTGTTTGGATTAACGACGTCCTTGGTTACGTTCCCGCGTTTTTTTTCACCGTGAATGCACCATTCTATGAATCAGGTCAACGATCAAAATTCGTGCATAAGGAATGTGGACAAAATTTCCCGATTTATCACAGAAAGTGGTTTCGATTTTTAAACAAATCGGTCTGACGTGATATAATAAACTATAATAAAGTTACGCGCTTGGGCAAGAAAACGAACAAATTTGTTGAAGTATCGAATTTGGTGACCGTCTCCCTCATTACACGTATACATAACATACTGGCAGCACAACCGTCTATTTTGTTATAAAATAGAACGTTTTCTATTTTAAAGAAGGTATTGAAAATAATGTAATGTTTGAATATATGTTTATATATTGACATATGATAAATTTATGATTGATTTTGAAGATGCTCTGAACATGCTGTAATACGCCCTTTTATTGTATATATTGTACAAATTATTTCTAACTTTTAACTAAAATTTTTATTCATTTGAGTAGTATGTTGCTTTTTTTCATAAAAATAGTTTTACAAATTATTTTGTAAAATGTAGTAGTAAGTGGTATAATTTTTTCCAGTATAAATTTAAACAATTTTTCTATATTTTCTGTAAGATGCAGAAGTGAATCAAGTTATAAATTTAATTATTTTTTTTTACACAGGAGAAGAATAAATTTATAATTTTAAGCATATATGAGGATGGCACCATCAAAAGTTGTAAATGTGCAAAATAAACAAAGTGGTACTACCATAACAAATACAAAGAAAAGAATAACAACAAGAAGTCAAAATCCTATGCTGAATAATGTTTTACTTAAAGCACCAGTTCTTGGCAAAGATCCTCGTTTCAAAAGAAAAGCAGAAGCATCTCCACCAAAGGAGAAAACAACAAAAAGATCTGCATTAGGGAACATCACTAATGTATGTTACTTGAGTAGTTTTTTCTTTTTTTAAATTCCTATCCTGAAATTTTTATAAAATATAATAACAAATTATATAATATAGCAGGCAATTGGAAAAACATTGGTAACACATCAAACACAAGAACCAAAGAAAGTAACGAAAAAAGCAACCACTACTCAGGTAATACTTTCAAAACTAAAGCCAGTGCCTCGTGTAAAACCAGTGAAAAAAGATGAAGAGAAAACTGAAGTAGCTAGTGAAATTGTAAATGTTAGACGTAGTTTAGATTTAGAAAAATCAGAAGACAGTTCTTTGTATGTAAGCGCATTAGAAGATATAGGAGATGACAGTTTAAAGAAGTCTAGAAAAAGCAATATTCAGGTGAATAATCTTATATCATGGCATATTTATTACATCTACATTTTTATATAAGTTTTAAACATTTAAAATAATGTTTTTGTACAGCCTGAAGAAACAGAAAAAATAAAGAAAGAAAATGAACAGAGTGAATCCCAAGTACCTGTAAAAACCGAAAAAAAATCAATAGCAGCTCAGTTAGATGCTATTCCTGAAAGAGTATTACCTGAAGGACTTCAATGGGATTTTGATGCTGAAAATTGGTTGGATCCATTTCAAGTTTCTCATTATGCTATGGATATTTTTAATTACTTAAAAGATAGGGAACGTCTGTTTCCTATTGGAGATTATATGGAAAGACAAGTGTGCCTTTCACGGTGGATGAGAGCCTTATTAGTTGACTGGATGGTAGAAGTTCAAGAATCTTTTGAACTAAATCATGAAACTTTATATCTGGCTGTGAAACTAGTTGACTTGTACTTAACAAAAGTAACTGTCGGAAAAGAAACATTACAATTGTTAGGTGCTGCAAGTTTATTCATAGCAAGTAAATATGATGTTAGTATCAGAATTGAATGTACAACGTTAATTTAAACAATATTTTTTATATTAGATCGTTTCGTTATTGTTTGATATTGTTATGATTTTTATAGGAAAGAATACCTCCAATGGTTGAAGATTTTTTGTACATATGTGACGGTGCTTACACACAAAGAGAATTACTTAGAATGGAAATGAGTGTTTTAAAGGTGGTTGATTTTGATCTTGGTATACCACTTTCTTATAGGTTTCTTAGACGATATGCTAGGGTGAGTTACATTAATAACTTCTTTATTTTTATTTTCAATTGTAGTATAATAAATTGTAATAATTGTATTATTTGTAAATAGTGTGCAAAAGTGTCAATGCCAACATTAACTTTAGCTCGATATATTTTGGAATATTCATTGATGGATTATTCAACAATAATGATTAGTGATAGTAAAATGGCCACAGCTGCACTCCTGCTTGCATTACAAATGAAAGATTTAGGAGGATGGACACCAACTTTAGAATATTATAGTGGTTATAAAGTTGATGACATAAGGGATATTGTAATTCTCTTAAACGAAGGACTACACCGGAAACATAAAGAAGCTCTAACTACTGTGCGGAATAAGTACAGCCATAAGTAAGTATATAAATATTTCGTTTAGTATGTTTTTCCGAAACTATTTAGTTATAGTAAACTGGATAATGTTTACTAAAACTTTGCAAATACTTTTGATTTTAGGATATTCTTTGAAGTAGCAAAGCTGCCATTAAAAGATACTTTAGATATATAAATAGTTTAAGAATGAAAAAAAAGATAGGTAATAAAATCTATGGTTGACAATAATATACGGGATTGCCTAATTATTGGTAGGTAGCCTGTAAAGAAAATTAATTATAAGTAATTAAGATGGTCGCCGAGCGTTAACATAAACTTTAAAACTATTTTGTTAATTCGTGCATTAATGAAATAATAAGAAAATTATCAGCTATCCAGAAATCATAAAAATCAAATGACTGTGAAGCTCACATTGAACTTTATACATATTTAAAATGATTGATAAATACTACAATTTTTTCCTCTCTTTTTTTTTTAGTTATTTATACAACATTAGTAATCTCTATATTATTCTACAATCTCAGTATTTGTAA